GGATTTTTGCAATCTGCCTGAATGATATATACAATGACACATGATTGATTTGCTTCGTAAATATTAATAATGCTGTCGTCCTGACTCTTTTTGGAGACTGACCAATCGAAAAGAAAGATTTAGAGGAAGCACAGCTCATAATAAACCCTGTTTTTAACTGAAATACAAGAAAACTAATTTTCGACAAAAGTAAAAATGTAAAAAAAAGAAAAAAAAACCGAAATATTTAAAACTGCCCAGTTTTGGACTGTAAAAACTTCAATTTCCACGGAATTCTTGCCTTGTTCCCAGTCGCTCTAATCCCGGCAAGAAACATGATTTGCCCTGCTCCAAGAGAAGCGACGAGACTCACTCGAATCTGGGATAAAGGTCGTCTCATGTCTCTGGCACGCAAAGAAAAACGAGAAAAAAAATAGACCAGAGAAGAAAAGAAAAAAAACATTAAAAAGAAATAAAAGAGACATTCGTTATTTACGATGTAGGTGATTGTTTTTTCCCTTTATTTTATAAATATAACTCTTTCTATCTTTTTAAGAAGTTAGGGCTAGGATATTGTTAGTGATACGGGTTCCCCCCTTTTTTTTTTCGTATCATTATTTTTTTTTCGAGGAATACAGTAGATGGCTCCAGGTCTTCTCGTCATCATGAAACTCAAAGAAATGAGGAAACAAGGAGCAAAGTACGGTTAGTACGGTCTGAGTATCACTCGTGTCTGTCCTTTGACAGAACCCAGCATACTTGGAAACATTTTTGCGATCAATTGTCCACTTTTTTGACTAACACACATTTCTAATTTCTAACTACTTAACTCACGTGAGAGTAACATAGCTGATTATCGTCAATGAGATCCCAATTACAGAGAGGGTCAGCCCGACGTATGTGAGAATTTCCAAGTTCTTTTCATCATTCTTTATGGGTGAAAATATAAATGAAAACAATACTTTAAAAGACTTACAAATCTTAATACATCGACTTAACCAAGTTTTATTCTACCTTAAGAACTAAAATGTTAAATCAATAGGTATTTGTTTGAATGTACCAGCAAATACTATCGTACAGGGGAGTTGCAGGCGTTGTGGTGACACTTACCGCTGATATATCGGCAGTCTCTGTTCCAGAAGATGTGTCCAGAAGAACAGCAAAATGAGTCAAATGATTGCAGGTGCACTCTGTTTGGTATGCATCAGTAGATTTGACATAGCACCCTTCTCCTGACCAGCCAATGGAACTGAAACGTAAGATAGATAATTTATCGATCAAGTGAGATTTTAGTGCACAAGTCATGCGAACGGAACCCCATATCTTTTAATGAATGTAACTTATCAAAGTGTGAAAATCCGGTTGTTAGACGATGATTCCTGTGAGAACTTGCATGTATTCACTAGTTCTCAAAACTTTGCTCTTCACGCATGGAGAGCTTTACGTGAAAAAAATTTGAACAAAGGGCAACACAATTTAGCTAACTGGATAATTTTCGCGACTTGACTTAATTTAGATATAAGTGTCCGCATCAACCTGAGACGACGCCGGTAAGCATGAATCATACATTATTCCCACTTAATTAGCCCAACGCTAGCCTCATGATAAGAGTTGAATAGAAAAAAAGAAAAAAAAGAAAAAAAAAGAGGGACATTCGAATAATATTTACCTATCATCCAACATGTTCCAGAACATACACTTTTTCTTGTTATTTGAATTCTAAAATAATGAAACAATAATAAATTATACAATGAAACACAATTTGCACCATAAATCGAAATCTAGCGAAATTAGAATTCATAAACAATACATTCATACTGAAAAAAGGCGAATTTCATTTCAGACAGCTAATAGAGTCACTTAATCTCAACCAGAAATGACAAGGTATAACAAAATCGGCAGGAAAGAACAGCGTAAGTCTCGCTACCTTAATGTTTTTGAACTTCAAAGTTATATTTTCCTGAAGTTTCTTGGGTGGAGGAGTTATTGTGGCAGCCATAATAATGGAGGTGACTTCCCTATTTCAGAGCGATGAAAGTAAGAATCACTAAACTTCAAATGCACCGTTTCAAGTATACAGAAGAGAAATAGATATAAATTGTCTAACGTAAAAAACCCTTCAGTTTCTAGCGTGAAGGAAATTTATCAGTCGTTGTGCATACAAAGATAGAAAATAAACGTATAGTTATAATTGCCGGGTGACCTGGAATTGTTCAGAGTACTGTTCTCTGTCTGGTTAGTGATGAATAATTGATGGAGGTCTTTGTATATCATTCCAAGTACTACTGAACCTGAGAAAATGATAAAGATGAAACGATTTCGTGAATTTCGCTATATCGACTAACAAAATTAAAATGAAAACATAGCTAAATACATTTACAAGTAAATAATATTGGAACACGAAATATTTAAATAAACTTTTTTAACCATTGTCCAAGTTTCCCGATGGAATGCTCAGGAAATTTTCCCCGTTAGGTTCTTCCAGACGAAAGTGGTGGCTTTCATTTTGGTAGAAAGTTTTCCTGACCAGAACATCTAACGGAAAGGTGTAAAAATGATATCAATAATAACAATTAGTAATATCAACAATAAAAATGATCAGTTTGACTTGATAGGGGAAAAAGGTTACCTAAGCCTTTTAAGAGAAAACAAAATTATCAGGTTTTAATCGAAACAGATAGAACAGTAAGAACTAGTTTATTCATGCTTAGTATAATTATGTTGTCCTTAAATGTTATTGCGAGGCTATTTCATGTAATGGACATCTCTTCATGGCCAGCCCTTGAATCGGAACGACAGTGACGTTCAACATACTTATTATATTAAGAAAATGCCTTACCTGCATAAATGCTGCTCATATTAAATTCGCTTGTTGTGTGATTGAATTTGAGTTGTGCAGTTTCCAGCAAGGATGTTTCCAACGTGGTCAATTCAAAAAACATTTCCTCTATCTTTTCCTTCTTATCTTCACTTTTGTTGCGTATCTCATCGGAATAATACTCAGTGACGGACTTCAAAGAGCTAAGCAAGTACTAAAAAAACAGTAAAATGGTTTAATTTTAAAAAGGGCAACGAACTTCAAAGAGCTGAGCAAATCCTCAAAAAAACGGTAAAATGGTTTAATTTTAAAAAGGGAACGATAAACCTTATCACACAAAAGTTCGCATCTAGTTTAAGTTTCGTGTTGAAAAACAAAACAAAACAAAACGGAATTTTGAGAAATATAGGCAAACTGGCATAACTGTTAAAATTCATACAAATCAAGCCGGTGCCAGAGCGAAAGCGATCATGCTGAGGTCCATCGCGGCTAGATCGTCACGGCAGTCTCCGGTCATCGCAGTGAAGCAAGCATTAGAAATTACATCGGCCGCCTAAATTATTCCAATTATCTTTGTTGTAATCTATTGCAGAACTTTGATATTTTATGAATTTTGATGGTTTGAAATTTATGACACCTTGTCCAACCAATCAGACTGTTTGAACCTTTCTGACAAGGATTCTGATTGGCTTATTGTAGCAAGTTTATTGAAGGGAGGAGGGGGGGGGGAGGGGGATGGGAGATCACTTCTCGTGTCTTACTGCTTCCTGCATGCGTTACAACAGAAAAGAGCAAACTCATGGCTTCTCTATTTGTAAATAGGTCCCATGATGTTTTTTATCATCCATCATATCTATTACGGTCTGCGTGTGCGTTAATATCAACATTCGCATTGCCTCCGTGTTATAAACACAGCAACGTCCTTTTCATGTCAATTGTGGGGATGCAGACAGTTCTGCATAAAGGAGTTTCACGATGAAAAGTGACGTAATCTATGCAGGCATATCAAGAAGCGAGAACTAAATTCTTACCCAAAAAATTAAAAGCGATATACATGTTTTTTTCAAAAACATAAATAGAGTACCTCTTTGCGTAAGTTTTCCCCTTCTTGCAGATCACCTATGTAGAAAGGACGTATATATAGCACTCATCATAATCCCGAAAAATGGTTTAGTAATTTGAATAAACGAGGGGGCAATAAAAAAATAATAATAATAAATAAATTAAAAAGTAAACTGATGATTAAGGAAAACACGAGATTGATAGATGACTGACTGGGATCGAAAGAGCGAAGGAGTGATCGAGAGAGGACGGCCGGATGGATTTATGAATAAACAAATTAATGAAATTCTTAATGAGGAATGATCTCATGTTTAAAACAAAAGGAACCTTATACATACTATTTTCTTGCGATGCGCTATCAGATAACTTGTAAACTTGATAACGACCCTTCCATCCACAAAATTTGACGTCAATGTTATATGATGACTGGTTTCCTCTGGCATTCACCTTGATCTTTGTCCGGCGATGTCCCCTAAAGAGTTTTTTAAACTTCCGTGCGCATTTTTTTCGCCACTCACAGGATTGCTGGAGACAATCACCGGTTTCGCACCATTCAGCACAATTCCCTCTGCGGCATTTGATTTTTAACGGAGGCTCCTTAGTTATGTCATCAACCCGCGAACAGTTGTCTTTTATCCCCGAAACTTTCATTTCTGCGTGTTTTCTGGAGCACTGGTTACTATGACCTGAAAAACAAATATGGATTAAATTTGAGAGAAAATACTTGACTGTACCTAACTCTCAATGACGACTCAAACATTTCTTTTTCAGCTTAAATTTCCTGTTAGATTATTACTAGAGAGCAGAACATTCGTTGGTGACTGTCACAATTTCCATTATTCATTTCAGTTAGTTGCTCGATAAAGACTATGCGATAGTCACTAAAAAGAGCACAGAAATACATATCCATGCGATAGCCTGTTTCAAGTATCGTTGAGCATACTCTTTGGTATCCTTGGTTTCAGCGCGAAAATCAACGAAAATCATCACACAGCTGTAACTAAACACAAGAAGCCATCGTCCACGTTTATACGTATATTGCTAAAGCACAGAACAAATAATCGTTGCTTGACGGAAATACTTTGATAAAACATAAAGTTTTTGTATTATACTTAAGAAGTGAAATCCCCTCCCTGCAAAGGGGAAGTACGTTCTATAAAAAGTTTGCCTAAATCAAAAGTTCCTGACATGCCTTGTGTTTTTGTTGCCAGAAATCACGATTAAAAAAATTGAGATTTCAAAATTTAAATCCTCTATCCTTGTTTTGACGTAGCGATGATCAAGCATTGTAATCTCGACCAAGAAGGATAAAAAACTAAGAAAACAGCGGCGAAGAGAGCGATACTGACTCACTTCTCGACATGGATCTTAATCAAGACGGTGTAATACGCCCATTCATTTTTGAGACGCAACATAGCTCGGCTTCAGGAGAAGAAGAAATCGCTGTTGACGAAGAAACTCAGGAATAGATAAAAGGAGAGACATCTACGCGCTCACGACTTGGAAATCGCGAGTGGTGCTCTTGCGGCAACTGTCATGAGATGCCATCAGAAAACAAGAATTTATGCTTTCAAGAAATGAATTTTCTTGGCGATTGACTCGATCTGGAATCGGAGGTAATTAATTCTTCTAAAATAAAATCTTTGTTTCTGGAATGACAATTTTTGAGTTTCTACAAAAGAACAGCGCAGTGCCCGCGACGGATTTATTTCAAATTGCTAATTGAGTGATGTGAATTGTTACTGAAATTGCAAGGGCCAAGCTTCAGTGTGTTACTTAGCACGGATCATTTGAAGCTGTGTGTTTACTAGCCAATGTTTTCAGAATAGCCCTTGTTGGCAACCACCAAGTGAGAAATGAGAGACTCGAAGATCATCTGTCAAAAGAGTAGGCAACGACAGAATAAAAATTTTTCACAAACCTCATCCAAACAAAACGCTAAAGTTGTTTGCAAGCTAGTCTGATGAAAACCGGAGAAATCACACACACACACACACACACACACACACACACACACACACACACACACACACACACACACACACACATACATACATATATATATATATATATATATATATATATATATATATATATATATAAGTGAAAGAATCAAAGAGGACGCATCGATTCTCTGTTGCTCTGAGTTTCGCGCCTTAGCGCTCGTCAGACAGAACTATATTCAATGAAGAACATACCTCCTTATATACAAATTGGATGAGTAGCTAATTAGTTCACTTGTGTGATGATCTGATCTACGTGTGAAATAAAGATTCTATAGGGCGGCTTGTGAAATTTGCTAAGTAAAACTTATTCTCGTGGCGGCACTTAGAAATGAGTTCTGTTCTTTTGTTTAATAAAGACGGTTTCTTAGCTCTAACTAAATAAAGTTTTTTCTGTGAGGCACAAGTGGCACCGTTTGCTTTTGTTGCTGTAGGCCGGGGCGGTCGCTAAGATACTCCAGTTTATTGTGAAATTGGTGTTGCTGTCTTTGAGTGTCCAGATATGCTTTGATAGTTCCTTGCTGTTTTAATAGTTTCTGTTCCGAAAAGAAAGTTTGTGTTGCGTGTAACGTTGTTTAAAAGTTCCTTCAGTAAGTCCAATGTAATTCTTTCCGGTTGTGTCATTTTCTGTTGTTACGTTGGCGTTGTAGACGACGCTTGGAGGGAGGCAGTTGTTTTTCAGAGGGCAGTCATCTTTTTTCCTGCAGTTACATTTGTTTTCCGTGGAGGGTGTCTTGCTTGTTTCGAGGATTTTTCTGTTGTGCTTCTTAATTATGGTTTGTAGGTTGTCTGTGCAGCTATAACTAACTTTCATGTTGTTTTTGTTGAAAATTTTGCTGTACGGGTGGTTTTTCGGAAAATGTTTACTGACGAGGTTCAGAAACTCTCTGCCGATGTTTGTTTGAACGTTCATGTTGTAGGGCAGAGGAAACCAAATTATGTCTCTTTGTCTGTTCTTGCGGCTGTTCTGTACAGTGTGAGTTACAGGTTTCTTGCGTTCAGTGTAGATTAATTCTTCGTCGTGTCCACTTTTTTTAAGTACACTTTCGTAGTGTGGTTTCGCTTCGTTAAAGAGTTCTTTGCTTGAGGAAATGTCGGAGATTTGTCGGCTGATGGCTGCTGGTAAGTGTTTTATTATTGTAAGCGGATGGTTGGAATTGTTGTCGATGTAGAGAGTTTCGTTGTTGGGCTTTCTGTATGGGTAGTGGGTTCCGTCTGTGAGGTTTAGGGTGACGTCGAGGAAGTTACAGATTTTTAGGTTTGTGCTTCTAGAAATGTTCAGACTTTGTTTCTTAAATTCTCGTGTGATGTCCTTCTAGTCGGTTCTGATTGTGGTCCGCTTAGGTTTCTTAGAAGTACCAGCCCGTGGTCTCTATAGAGTCCTACTTTGTTTTTGCCGTATTTCTCGCTGAGGTTGTTCAGGAGGAAAAGTCCGATAAGCTTACAAATTTCTGCTCCATCGAAGCTGCCCGTAGTTACGTCGAACATACTGTTGTGGTTTTTCTCAGTTCAGGCGGTCTCGTTGTCAAATAAAAGTGATTTCCGGCAGTGCATAATTATGTCGATGTCTTTGTCGCTGATTGTGGTAAATTTCTTGGCAAATGAAATTGCTTCAGAGAGAAGAGACTCTGATGGATGAGTCAAAACTGTCGATGTCGAACGAGGCGAACGAATGCTTTTGCACGTCGGGTATGTTGGTGAACCAATTAATTACATCTGATGTGTTTTTCCACTAGTTGAGCTTTGTCATTTCTCTGACTTTCGGGTTGATATTGTCGAGAATTTGTTTACTGACTTTTCCGAGTTCAGTTTTTGCGGGATTTATGAGGTGGCATGTAGGGTGATTGGCGAAGTTGTCTTTATGGTCTTTTAGGGTACTAAAAAGTTGTTGATTTGCGATTTGTTCTGTACGGTTGTCGATGTTGAGCTCTTGGGTGATAGATTTTGCTTGTGAGTCAATGATGTTGGCGGTGTCGGTGCTAGCTTTCTTGTAGGTGGTTGTGATGCTGTCCCTTCGGAGTTTGTGGTGCTGCGTCTTGTCAAGCTTGTAAAAGTTTAAAACTTTTACAAACTTGAAAAGACGCAGCTATTAGTAGTAGTAGTTATTGTAGCAGTAGTAGTAGTAGAAGTAGTAGTAGTAGTATCATTATGGTTATAATTTTTTTCTTTTGAGGTGAATCTCATTTTTTCCTTTTTTTATCCCGAAGTTGTTCAAGGCTGCTGGGGAATAGCTGAACAAAGTAAGTGCTTATGACACTGCGCGCTAGCTTAAGTAAAGTTAGAATATCAATAAGCTAAGTGAATTCAGTTTCTGTATCAGACAGATTGTGGCTAGCCTTTTAACTCAATTCAAGAGGAAATGCTGCTTCATTGATTTCTCCTGATTCAGATCGAACGATGCATGCGTAGCTTAAACTGCACGGCGTCAGTTTAACCGCAACACACAATTTCTTTTAGAGTCAAGTTGTACTCTATAATTATTTTGCCGCCGTTTCAATTCTATTGCAGATAATAACTGTGTAAATGCCACGTTCTTGAAGCAAAGTGAATGTGAACATTCGAATTCGAGCTGCAGAAATCTTCTTCAGAGCGGATGGCGCGAGATAAAATGCAATCCATTTGTGTTTGGTGCTCCCAGAGGTTCCTGCGCCAAGTGGTGTAAACAACTTTACTGTCTGGCAAAGTTTGAATATGTTTCTGCAAATCCAGTTGCTGGGACCAGCAATATTGCATTTCGTGTAGTATGTAAAAATTTCCTTGTGTATTTATGTTGTTTTATTTTGAGACGAACTCAAAGTCCGGCAAAATTTACTTGATAGCGACTATGAAATATGCATAGTGCACCTACTTGTCGCCACCGTTAACTGGCATAAGTCATTACAATTTGCAAAAACATCTAACATAACACTCTTACCTTGTTTATTTATGGTTCTATTAGCTGTTTCGATGATCACGTTATATCACTCAATTAGCAATGTGAAATAAATCTGTCGCGGCAATGCGCTGTTTCTTTGTAAAAACTCAAAAAAGGTCACTTTAAAAACAGTTTCTACTTGAGACAAATTATCTTCGATTCCAGATGAAATCGATCTCCATGTAAATTCATTTATTGACAGCATATACTCTCGCATTTCATAACAGTTGCCGCAAGAGCACCACTCGCAGTTTACAAGACGTCAGCGCTTGCATATTTCTCCTTTTATCTTTTCCCGAGGTGCTTCGTTAACAGCGATTTCTTCTTCTCCCGAAGAAGAGCCACTTTACGGCTTAAACGTGACTGGCCGTATTACAACGTCTGAATTAAGATCCATGTCGAGAATTGGGTCGTTTAGCTCTCCTCGCCGCTGTTTTCTTAGGTTTTTTTTTATTTTTTATCCTCCTTAGTCGAGATTACCAGCTTGGCCATTGCTACGTCATAACTACTTCATAACAAAGATGGCGGATTTAAATTGTAAAATCTGAATTTTTTTTTTTTTTTTAATTTAATTTTTTAACGTGATTTCAGGCAACAAAGCCACAAAGCAAGTCAGGAACTTTTGATTTTGGCAAACTTCTTTTAGTTTGTATAGCACTTTCCCTTTAAAATATCAATGAAATAATAATAATAACAATAACAATAAAAAAGATAATAGCTATTTTTCTAAAACAGAACTGAGCAGTTTATCAAACATTCTGTCTGTTTGTTGGAAATAAATGGTATCTATTCATCCGTCCGTTCATTCGTCCTTTAAGTATAAATTCATGGTTTTCTTTCTCCTTTTTATTGGGGGAAGAGATGTCAGGTGGTGCAATTTTTCTTTTCTCTTTCATTTGCCTATTTTTTTAAAGTAATTTACCAATTCATATCACCTTTACCGTTTTAATTATGATACAAAAAAAACCCATTTTATCAAAGCATTTCTGTCAATCACCGAATCTCTGTTCTATGCATTGGCAAAATACGTATAGACATGGACTATGGCTTCATGTGCCTCATGTCTTCTGGAATAGTGAGTTTTTTTGTATCTAGAACTGTCGATGGCATCCTGCGTTCCTTCATATAAAAGGCTAAAAGCCACTGAGCGAACGAAAGGGATTTTGCTTCAAAAGCCACCTTCAACCTGTGGGATGACAGGAAGTTTCAGCAAAAAGGTCCAACTAAAAGCCAATTTGCAAAGATTTTGCTGCATCAGAGCGTCGACGAACTTCGCGTGAGGTGCAGATCACGAGAAGTAAATGACGAGTTATAAAGTATAAACGGGCCAGCAGGACTCCTGCCATCCGGAAGCGATTTTAAATTTTTTGGAGTAGTTGTGACCAGGATATGTTTTAACGACTTTTCTTTGCGATGTAATTCAGTGCGTTGGTTTTGAATGAGATG